GCAGAATGATTGCAGGACAAAACCAGCACAACCAGCTAGCTCTGAGCAAGACGCATATAGAGCCAGTTCTGCTGTATTTGCTTGCTATTACTTCTACTTAAGTGAGATCTGAAATGAAATGCTTTCTTTATGTTCTCAGTGTGAAATTGGGCAGAAGTAAAAGCCACAAAACAAACTGGTATACCTTATTATTTTTGGATAATTATACTTTAGACAGAAGATTCTGCAACTGCTTTCAATGAGGTGAGAGTAATTTACTTAGCATCTGGGCTGACTGTTAAGCTGGCGTTGTTTCTGCCTTTAGCTCCTGTGTTTCACGGTGGTATAGGCTTTTGGTCTGTTTGAAATTTAAGCATAAATATACGGTCATATTTATTTCTGTAGCCTCTCTCACTCTTTGTCACGTACCTCTCTCAGGCTGTTTTTCTGCCTAAAATAAAAGGAAAAACACACAGAATTATTTTTCTTATTACTCAGCTAATTCCTCATCCATAGAAAGAGGATGTCAAGCTTGAACACTCTGATTCCTTAACAGGTCAGAATGTACCTGGTTCCCCCTTCCCTGTAGCCTGCATTTGCATGCCAGTGATGGATTTTAGTGCCAGGATTGGATACAACAGGCTCAATAAGAGTATAGTCAGCCAGGTGCAGTGGCTCACGCCTGTAATCCTAGCACTTTGGAGGCCGAGGTGAGTGGATTGCCCGAGCTCAGGAGTTCAAGACCAGCCTGGGCAACATGGTGAAACCCTCTCTCTACCAAAATTCAAAAAATTAACTAGGTGTGGTGGTGTGCGCCTGTAGTCCCAGCTACTCAGGGGACTGAGGCAGGAGAATTGCTTGAACCTGGGAGGTGGAGGTTGCAGTGAGCCGAGATCATTCCACTGCATTCCAGCCTGTGCAACAGAGCAAGAGTTCGTCTCTTAAAAAAAAAAACAAAAAGTACAGTCATCCCTTAGTGTCCTCGGGTGTTGGCTCTAGGACCCCCTTTGGATACCAACATCTGAAAATGCTCAAGCCTCTGTTATAAAATGGCATAGTATTTGCATATAACCTAAACATATCCACCCATATACTTTAAATCATCTCAAGATTGCTTATAATATCTAATAGTGTGAGTACTATATAGTTGTTATACTTTATTTTTTACATGTGTGTTTTTTTATTGTTGCATTGTTACTTTTAATTTTTTTCCCAAATATTTTTGGTCTGTGGTTGAATGCATAGATGCAGAACGTCCGGATATGGAGGGTCACTTGTAATTGAGAACATGGAATGTGGGTACTTTTCAGCTTTATTTTCCTGTAGCTTTATAATATTACCTGTCTATTGAGAAGTAATGTCTACTTTAAAAAGTAACGGTTCAACCAAGCAAATAAGGCTGCCCTAGAATAGAAATTAATTGTTTATTACCTAAGTACTGAAAACATTCGTCCAGTTTTAGATGGCACAGGTAAAATGTCAAGAGACACATGAAACCACTTAGGTGTGCTTTATTATACTTTCTTCTATTGAAAAGGCAGTAACGGTCACATTAAATTACTTTATTCTCTGCTACGCAGCCTCAGCTTGTGTAGTAGAGAGTTAGAATTTTAAGATGTATTTTATTTGATTAAAAAACATAAGGAAAGTCAGTCATTATAGGCCATAAAGAAACCCTTGTCTGCCCTCATGCTCAGTTACATCCCCCAACCCAAAGGATGTTTATTGTTTCATGAATTCAAAGCATTGCAGAAAAACCAGTGGCAGATAATCCTTTGTGCTGTGGAAATGCATCAGCACGATCTCCGGAAGCAGGGATGTCAAGTTTTCTGTAACAGGAACAGTGAATACAACTCGAGGGAGTATGGTTAAGCAAATGATGTCATTTGAGGTTAAAACTATTGATACCGGCCGGGCGCGGTGGCTCTAGCCTGTAATCCCAGCACTTTGGGAGGCCGAGGAGGGTGGATCACAAGGTCAAGAGATCGAGACCATCCTGGTCAACATGGTGAAACCCCGTCTCTACTAAAAATACAAAAAAAAAGTAGCTGGGCATGGTGGCATATGCCTGTAATCCAAGCTACTCAGGAGGCTGAGGCAGGAGAATTGCCTGAACCCAGGAGGCGGAGGTTGCGGTGAGCCGAGATCGCGCCATTGCACTCCAGCCTGGGTACTAAGAGCGAAACTCCGTCTCAAAAAAAAACAAAAAACAAAAAACAAAAAACTATTGATACCATGCAAGCATCCAGGAGGAGTATGTCTACAACCAAAATGGCACTTTTTTTTCTCAAAACAGATTGGAACAGGCACAGTGGCTCACACCTATAGTCCCAGCACTTTGAAAGACCAAGGCCGGAGGATTGCTTGAGGCCAGGAGTTTGAGGCCAGCCTTGGGAATATAGTGAGAACTTGTCTGTACAAAAACAACAACAACAAAAAACAAAAATTGGCTGAGTGTGGTGGCATGTGCCTGTGGTCTCAGCTACTGGGGAGGCTGAAGTGTGAGGATTGCTTGAGGCCAGGGGTGGAGGCTGCAGTGAGCTGTGATCACGCCACTGTACTCCAGCCTGGGCAACAAAGTGAGACCCTGTCTCAAAACAACAGCAATAACAACAAGAAAAACGAACAAAACCCAAACAGAGTGGAATCAGTGAGTAGAGGAGGCAGGTAAATAAAGACAGAAGTGCGGAAGTAGCCGTCTACGTGGCTATGCATTCATCTACAAAAGCTAAAGGCAAAGTCTCTAGTGTCCAGCGCCATTTCCCAGCGGCCGCTTTCTCCCATTTCAGGAGCTGCAGGGTATGAAAGTATGTTGATTCGAGGCTGTGGTCCCTGTGACTCCCTCTTTCTCCTTGTGCTTCTGTATCTAAAGTGGGTGAGGAGCCTCGGCTGATGGGAACAAATGAGGCCAGAGTCTTACGGCTGGGGTGAAGACACGTGACGATGATACTTTACAGTGAATTTAAGTAATTCATTGTGCATCTAATATGTATTGTGAAGGATAACCATTCGTAGTATGCTTTGATGAAAGATAATGTGGTTGTTTTTTTTTTTCAGGTAACACGGTCTGCTTTTTAGATTTTCTTTCCATTTTCTACCATTCTAAAAGTCATATAATCACATACTTTAGATAAAAAAGAAGCCGCGGGGGAGGGGCATTCAGGTATATTTGCTAATGATCTTCCCTGTGTGTTTTTTTGTTTGTTCATTCGTTATATCCCCACCCCACTTCTAGACTCTGGTTCAAATCCTGGTTCCTCCACTTAATAGGTATGGGGCCTTGGTCAAGTTTCTTAGCTTTATTGAGCCTCATTTCCTTATCTGTAAAATGGGGATGTTATCGGCTTCATAGGTTATGAGAATTAGATGATGTACTTAAATTCACTTCACGTATTTAAAATACCTAGCTTACCATTTGACTCATGATGAAATGGGACCAGTCTATATATTTCTATATAATATATATATATATATATATACACACATACACACACACACACACATGCGTGTGTATGTGCGTGTGTATATATGTGTGTGTATTTATATATATATATGTGTGTGTTTATAACGTTTTTTGACTTAGTATAGAAAATGCTAACTTTATTCCCAAGTAAGCGCAAGACATTTTAAGATGCCTGTGGAAGTTCAGACATCAGAATTCCCTGCCTGGGCCTGTGTGAGGGTAGACAGAAGACTTTAGTTCACAGAAATAGAATTACCTGTGGTCACGTAGATGTTAACAGGAGCTGTAATTAATGAATCTGTTGATTGGTTTTCCTTGCTGTGGCTTGTTGTAACCTTTGAAAAATGTGTGTTATGAGAAAAGGAATGCTATTTTTAAGAATGCTAACTTCATCAAAGCTGCCCGTAATGCTGTTATTTTGTGATTATAATAAACATTTTATGGGATGAAATTTGTATTTTAGTCCTTTCAGGAGAAAATCAAGAAAGAATTTTCAAGTGAGTTTCCTATTTTTCTTAGTCTAAGTCACTTATAAGTTTTTCTTCGCTGTTGTCAGTATAAACAAGTGCTTTAAATCTTAGCAAGAATCTATATTTTGAGGCTTTCTTTGGCTTTAATACAAATTGTACATTTTAGAAGATGGTAGATAATTTGTGTTTGCACGAATGTCTGAAAATATTTAAACATAGTTTATGTCATATGCTGTGTGAGGTTTGTTTTTGGGATAGAAGTAATAATTCCTCGGTTTATGTTTACTTTAAATTTTTTTGGTTTTGTGTTTTTAAAAATATACCATGTGTAGTGCCTGTTTCTAAGGGGATGAAGAATAGTGTTTTGGATTTTCCTGGGTAGTTAATGATATAGAGCCTTTTCCAAAGCAGATTCTACCCTTAATTTTATTTTATACTAATCAGATTTTAAGCTCTATAAAATTTTAATTGAATGTCTAAATTTATATACGTGAGCTTGAGTTCCTTCGTTTTAATTATAAATTATAATATGGCCAAATCATCCATTTAAAGGCCAATTTAGGTGCAAAAAGAACAAATAATTGCTGTAGCCATGCTTTTGCATTCCTGTATTTCCGATTTCAAATAACTGCTGAGGAAAAAATCGGATTCGCTTCTAATGAATTTTTATTATTTTGGAGAACGCTTTTTATGAATTGTGAGGACTGGGACCACTGTCAGAATACATATGCCTGTACACTTGTTACGATATATTAGAGTTGATTTGCTGACATAAATTTGTAAGAATACCTCTTCTTTGCCCTAAGCAAAATGCAGAAGTAACAGAATTGGACCTCTGCTAAAACTGATGTTTTTAGCTTATACTTTGAGAACAGCCTGACTGCGTAGCACATGCAGTGATTTTACAGGATAAAGAATTTTACGCTGGACATGTTAACGTTCAAGTTGGCTTTTCCCTTGGGCTTAGCATCAATTACTGTAGCATTTGAAATGAAGGATGTATAATTATCTTGAGGTTTAACCAAGGTTCTTGCATATTAGCACGTACTTAGTAGGACCAACCCTGTTTCCCCCTTTGGTTTGTTTAGAAGACTTGCACTATCTGCCAGATGCTGCTTCCTAACCAGTGCAGTTATGCATCACACCAGAGAATCCATCAGCACAAATCTCCCTACACCTGCCCTGAGTGCGGGGCCATCTGCAGGTCGGTGCACTTCCAGACCCACGTCACCAAGAACTGTCTGCACTACACCAGGAGAGTTGGTTTTCGGTCAGTATATCGTTCACTTACAACCGCACAGCATTTTGAGTGGTCTGCACACACAGTTTTCTGGGTCATACGGTGATACCTCGATTAACAGATCCTCTGGGAACCTAGGTCATTTGCAGAGTCCATCTGGTTGAATCCTCTTAATGTAATATTGGCCCTGCTGTCCACACAAAGCAAAGGGTCATGGAGCCCGTCCTTTTAGGCACAGTCTTGCATGTGTTCAGGTGTGGCTTTGACTGACTGTCAGCTTTTTTGGTTTCTGTACCCTATTTAGCAGACTTTTGTTATCATATTTTTTGCATTTTAATCCCTGCAAGAAAACCATACATTCTGCACCTCTTAGTATTTCCTCTTTTCTAATGAAAACAGAAATAGTGCGATGGTCTTTTACTTTTATTTTGTCCACATTGAAGGATGGGATGTATGTCCCAGCCTTGCACTTCAAATCACCTCCGCTTCCTCCCCCCTTCTCCTCCTCCAATTTCCTCCTGCTCCCCTCTCCCCCCTTCCTCCTCCCTCTTTCTCTTTCTCTTCGTCCCTCCTCCCTCGTCCTCTCTTTCTCTCCCTCCTCCCTCCTCCCCCTTCTCCTTCCTTTCCCACTCTTCCTCCTCCTCCTCTCCCTCCTCCCCCTTCCTTTTCCACCCCTCTCCCTCCTCTCTTCCCCCCTTCCTCCCCACTCCTCTTTCTCTCCCCTCTTCCCTCTCCCCCTTCCTCCTTCTCTTCTCTCTCCCCGCTCACTTCTCCCCACTCCTCTTTCTCTTCCCCTCTTCCCTTCCCCCACCCCTTCCTCCTTCTCCTCCCTTTTCCCCCTCCCACCTCTCCCCTTCTTCCTCTTCCCCTCTCCCCTTCTCCCTCCTTCCCACTCTTCCCCCCACCCCCCCTTCAAGTTCTCTCATTCCTCCCTCGTCTCCTCTGCATATCTCCACTGTGGCCCCTTTCACTGACCCCCACGATTCTCAGATGTGCCTTGTACAACATCTGGCAAATCTCATGTTAGCTAGTGTTGAATGATTATACACTTGAACTTTTTTCTCCATCTTATGACCTTCCTGTGCCTTTTATATTTTCATCAAGAAGATTATCCCAAGAAAAATGTCATTGATACACAGTGTCTTTGTTAATAGAGGTATTACTGTTATTACATGTTTATCTTAACATAAAGTGTTTGCTTACCTGGAAACTTTGTTAGATTGTTAAATGCAGTGATTTTTTTTTTAACCTGTCATAAATTATATTTAATAAAAATGAAGTCCAGTTAGCATGATTTGATGGTTTTATATAAGTTTAGGTTATGGTATCATCAGTTCCTGGGTGGTTCTGCCCATTTTTCCATTGATAACACTAAGCTATGAGACTTACTTCACATTTTATCTCATGCCTCCAAACCTGTAATACACAAATGTTTTATGGATTGAGATCTAGCCGGGTGGAAACCTTTGGCTTAGAAATCAAGAAAGCAGTATTTTTGTACCACTTCTGCCAGTAACTAATTATGTGGTAATTCACATATTCTCTCTGTGCTGTGGGGCATCTGTCTGTAAAATTGCCTGCCTCTAGCTCCACTGGGATGTTCTTGAGTAAAACAGAATAATCAAAGGTGCCCTAGATCTGCAAAGTCCATGCAGAATAATACTTTGGTTCTTGCCATCACACTTTGAAACTATTATTAATGGATTCAGCATTTCATAATAGAGGCTCTGCAGCCACTTCCCAAGTGCTAGTCTTTGCACTGATGTCAAATTTTTCTTAAACGTTTAGTTTTTCTAATATAATGAAAGTAAACTTAGCTTGGTATGATTAAAGGAAGTATGACTTCTGCAATTTTAGGTATTGCTGATATCTTTCCTAAATTAAAATAGAAGCTCCACATACAGGCTGAAAGTAATCAACTCACTTGGGAAGAGACCATCCTTGCTCCTCTGCTCTTTTGCCCTACTCACAGAGTTGTTCAAATTTGGTACCTTGAATTGCAAATTTTAATTTTTTACCAAAAATTTTGTGTTAAGTGTAGATTTTTTTCTCCCTGGTCTTGAGGTTATATGGGGCTGGTAAAAACATGATGTATTGTGAAGTTAGTTCATGTTGACTGCTCCATTTTTTTTTTTTAATTATGGAACATTTTTTTTTTTAAATTATGGGTGTTTTTTTTTTTTTTTTTTTTGAGACGGAGTTTCTGTCACCCAGGCTGGAGTGCAGTGGCGCGATCTCGGCTCACTGTAACCTCCACTTCCCGGGTTTAAGTGATTCTCTTGCTTCCTGAGTAGCTGGGATTACACATGCCAGCCAATACGCCTGGCTATTTTTTTGTATTTTTAGTAGAGACGGGGTTTTACCATGTTGGCCAGGCAGGTCTCTTAACTCCTGACCTCATGATTCACCCGCCTTGGCCTCCCAAAGTGCTGGGATTACAGGTCTGAGCCACCAGGCTCGGTGAGAGGAACATTTTTAAACTCAATTTTTTTTTTCCTCTGCTGCTTTAAATAATGGTCCTGGCTCATGTTTCACTGGGGCTTAGTAGCCCTGTGGCCTTGTCACGTTTTGTGCTCCCTTTGCCTCCACGGTCCCTCATTTTCAGTTTGTCTTTTCTTTGGCCAGAGGCGTCTCACGTGGCCACGTGGCCTCCGCGCTACTCTGTCTCATCTTGCTGCAGTGTGCCTCACTGTCTCTCTTCTTGCTCATACTACATCTCCCAGATATTGATGGGTCACCCCTGACTCCTGGTTAACTTGCCAAAAGTTAAATATTGATAAAAGTCAATTATTTTTTTCTGAATTTTCCTGCCTTTTGATACATTGGACTCTGTATCTAGAAAGGGGAATAGTTATAGGATTTTATGCTGTAAACATTTTTTTTTTTTTAATTAAAAAAATAAGAAACTTTATTGCTACCTAGAACAGGACTTCAGGATATTACATATTTCTCAGAAGACAGGATTTTTCATAGCATTAAGATACTGCACTAGCCCTTTCAAGGCTGCGTTTCTTTGTCCGTCTTATTTACATTCCCATTGGCCTCTGTTGCCCCCGAAGCTCCTCTTTCTCTTGTAGGCAGATGTTTCACGACTTTTTAAAATACCCTGCTTTGGTTTCTTACATTAAGGAGGGTTTTTCCCTTGGCCTCCATGGTGTTCTCTGGATTGAGTCATAGCCACTTCCTCTTGCTTCAAAAAATTCCATCTTTATTTTAGATACTTCCTTTTTGTTTGCTGTACATTAAACCTTCCTCTCACTCCAAGTGACTTTAGGTAATTACTGCTTTTCTCTTTATTCCTTTTTGCCCTTCTCGGGTCTTTTGCCCTCCGAACACCATCTTTCTGTCCTTCTTGGGAAAATCTTCTGTTTATAGTTTATGGTGTGGTGGGTCCTTCAGTTTCTTTAATAACTCATCTACTTTTGTTTTACATAATCTTCCTCTTTCATGGGAGTCTTAGGCTTCTAGGTTTGGGAAGGACTTAAAATAATCTTATTTTAACTCTTCTCATTTTACAAATGAGTAACTGGCCCAGAGAGGAACATTAACCTGTTCAAGACAACCCATTAAGTTAACCCAAAATAGTTTCAGTATGCGTAGGTGGCTCTATTGCCTGAAATGCTGGTTCAAGTAGATAGGCTAGAGAGGCTTTCCTTTTATTATCCTATTGTTATGTAGTGTTTCAACATAGCTGTTGCTGAACTTAATGCCTTAAGTCATTGGAAATGCTAATGCATTATTGAGGATTTTTAACAGAATGCTTGCACAGCCTAAACGGAATGCCTGCAGTCCAGAACATGACACTCCTGTGTGACTGTGGAAGCATCTCCATGATTCAGAAGGGAGGTTCTAAGAATAGAAGCATCTGAGACTGTCATAGAAGTCTTGGGCGCTGACCCCTGGAAACCAGGCCCTGTCTGCAATCTTCCTTCCCTGCGTAGCTCACATCTGGGAGCACATATGTTCAGTTGTAGTAGAGGTATATTTCTGGAGACTTGTGTGTACCTGCAGAAAGACCACTCTTAGTTTTCAGGTGTGAACCAGGAAGACTTGGCCATCAAGTGGAGGTGTTATAAATGTTGCTCAGAGTCTTTGTGTGAAAAAGATGACATAGTGGAGAGATGTAGCTTAGTTTTAAAGTTTGTTTTTGTTGCATTAGATTTGAGCAAGGAAGGAGCTAGTTGTCAGATGATTAGAAATTCACAAAGTGGCCGGGCGCGGTGGCTCAAGCCTGTAATCCCAGCACTTTGGGAGGCCGAGGCGGGTGGATCACAAGGTCAAGAGATCGAGACCATCTTGGTCAACATGGTGAAACCCCGTCTCTACTAAAAATACAAAAAATTAGCTGGGCATGGTGGCACGTGCCTGTAATCCCAGCTACTCAGGAGGCTGAGGCAGGAGAATTGCCTGAACCCAGGAGGCGGAGGTTGCGGTGAGCCGAGATCGCGCCATTGCACCCCAGCCTGGGAAACAAGAGCGAAACTCCGTCTCAAAAAAAAAAAAAAAAAAAAAAAGAAATTGACAAAGTAAGGAAGTTAACTAGAGAGACCATTTTTTTTTTTAAGAGATGCTGAATTTTCAGAGGTTTATAATTTATGCTATTTCTTAAACAAATGCAAGTGTACTTAAATTTATTTTCTTTTTTCCTTTTTTTTTTTTTTTTTTGAGATGGAGTCTCCCTCAGTCGCCCAGGCTAGAGTGCAGTGGCACAATCTGAGCTCACTGTAACCTCAGTCTCCTGGGTTCAAGCAATTCTCCTGTCTCAGCCTCCCGAGTAGCTGGAATTACAGGCGCAACTAATTTTTGTATTTTTAGTAGAGATGGGGTTTCACCATGTTGGTCAGGCTGGTCTTGAACTCCTGACCTCGTGATCCACCTGCCTCGGCCTCCCAAAGTGCTGGGATTACAGGTGTGAGCCACTGCGGCCAGCCTCACTTAAATTTATTTTCTAAAAGACAAGCACCTCGGTGGTTGACCTTCTCTGTCCTGTGGACCACCATGACCCCCACATACACTGACCACATCCTTGTGTAGCAAGAAGCACTGGGCCGAGGCCTTGGAGCCAGAACTTCTTTGCTCCTCTCTGCTCCTCTGTTCATGGCATGTAGGTTTAGACACTGAAGACTTCTTCCATTACAAGTGCCATTTAGGGCCTGGGGATGGGTAGGAAACTCTGGGCCCTGTGCCAGAATCCAGCATGTGGAGGCCTTCCAAAAATGGTGGTCTAGAGACTCGACATCCATTCTTTTTTTTTTTTTTTTTTTTTAAATGAGACCCCATTGCTCAATGGACATCCAGTCTTAAAAACGTTAACGTTGCTCCAATAATAGACCAATTGAGGTTTTTTTCCTCTTCATGATCTTTTCAATCAAACATATAAAAATAGGCTGGGCGTGTTGTAGGTCACACCTATAATCCCAGCATTTTGGGAAGCCGAGGCGGGCGAATCACTTGAGGCTAGGAGTTTTGAGAACAGCCTGGCCAACATGGCGAAACCCCATCTCTACTAAAAATACAAAAATTAGCTGGGCGTGGTGGTGCACGCCTGTAATCCCAGCTACTTGGGAGGCTGAGGCACAAGAATTGCTTGAACCTGGAAGGCGGAGGTTGCAGTGAGCATGGATGATGCCACTGCACTCCACCCCGGGCGACAGAGCGAGACCTTGTCTCAAATGAAAAACCAAAAAAACTCCACAAAAAAAACCATATAAAAATAAGTTGATTTGTAATAGGAAAAAACCTAAAATATACTTCCAGAGGGCCATTAAAAACCCTAAAAGGGCTACGAAACTATGTTCATCTCACCCAGTTTTTGCAGTTACACGTGTGTTATGGTCTTGTTCTAATGACCGTGTGTTTATTTTTCTAACAGATGTGTACATTGCAATGTTGTGTACTCTGATGTGGCTGCTCTGAAGTCTCACATTCAAGGTTCTCACTGTGAAGTCTTCTACAAGTGTCCTATTTGTCCAATGGCGTTTAAGTCTGCCCCAAGCACACATTCCCACGCCTACACACAGCATCCTGGCATCAAGATAGGAGAACCAAAGTAAGTCCTCCCGACTTTCGATGTTTGCTCCACTGCTTTATTAGCCATTTAGAGGCGAGGTAGTACCCGTTCTGTTGAGTAACATTTACCAAGATCTGAAAAATCACGCAGCTATGCCAATTTTGATGCTTTATGAAATACAGCTCGTAGCTCACCCAAACCTTTCTGTCCTTTCCGGGTAACGTCCTTAGCCAAAAATGTCACCTATTATTTATGCTCTTGCCACAGACCTTGGCTCAGCAAGCAAATATTTATGTATTTTTTTCTTAAGATGATTTTAAACAACTCCTAGGAAAACTATTACTGAAAAACCCTGTCATCTTTAAATTTGTCCCTAGTTCCTTTTTTATAGGATGTACTTTTGCTTCAAAAAGTAGTATTTTTAAGATGAAGGCAACTTCAGACTGGTTACTGAATTTAACTTCATAGCCAGTATAAGTCCCTGATTAGTAAATTCGGTGGGTTTTTTTGTTTGTTTTTTGTTTTTTGTGTTTTTTTTTTTTTGCCTTAATCTTGCTCTTAATTTGACTGATTTTTGGCAGCTTAGCAAAGAGGAGGGAGTGTGGGCACTGAAACCCACAGAACCCTACCACCCACCGGCTGGGTGACCTGGGACCAGCACTGTCTCAGCCGCTGTCTCCCCTATGAAGTCAGGGTCCTGCTTCAGTGAGGATGGGATGAAACGACGTATTTAAACTGTGTGGCACACACAGTCCCTGTGTCTGGAGCGTGGAGGGCTCTGCCAGCACTCGTTTCCTCCTGCACGTCCTCACTCCCTGTGCACACGGCACCAGATCAGTGCTCCTAGCTGTGTTCATTCCATTCCTAGATTGATTATGGCAACATAGAGTTTGATCATTACAAGAGGCTACATTTGCTGTCCAAATCTGTTGGTGTGTTTTTGCTCATAACTCCATAATTAAGGAAGTGTTGGGGGAAGATATGCCATATTTTTCTTACACACACACACACACACACACACACAGCTTTTGTTGTAACATTTAGTTTTGGGGAAATGTGATTGAATACTATAGAAGTGACTGTTTTATCAAAAAAAAAAAAAAAAAAAACTATGTTGAAGTTAGAGTTTATTTTAACAGGACCTTCATTCTGATCTTTGTAGATTGATCCCAAAATGAAACACATTAAAAGTTAAGGAATCCGTACACGACTTGATGTCTTGACTCTGAAGATGGGGATTAGTGAATTTTAGTGTCGTCAGTTTTCGGGACAGTTAGACTTCCCGGTACTAACACAACCTTTCCCGTGGAATGAATAAAATTTTTTATTTGGTTCTTTATTAAAATAAATGAAATTTGATTGTGAGAAACGTGTGTGACACCTGGAACAACAATTGTTACCTCGGAATATAAGGAAGCATATGATTAAAATAGGCTTAAACAGTATTCCTCAAATTTGGGTATTGTATAGAAAAAAATTGTTCCAGTGTTTTCTCTTTCTTTCTTTTTTTTTGAGACAGAGTCTTATTCTCATCCAGGCTGGTGTGCGATCATGGCTCACTGCAGCCTCGACCTCCTGGGCTCAGGTGATCCTCCTGCCTCAGCCCTTCTAGTAGCTGGGACCACAGGTGCGCACATGCACCACCGCACCTGGCTGATTTTTAAAATTTTTTGTAGAAACGGGGCCTCGCCATGTTGCCCAGGCTAATCTTGAACTCCTGGGCTCAAGCAGTCTTCCCATTGGAACGTGTCGCTAAGAAGTAAAACGTGCAAAATTAGAATAGCAGCATGATAGAGGAGTATGGAGTCAGGGGAGGCTGAATTTGAAGCCTGGCCCTGGAATCTGTTTAACAGCCAGCACCTGGTCCAGTCCCGCTAAGTGCTGGTGTCCCATCTCTGCAATGGCAGCACTGTCATCTCCCTGGGGCTGTGGGGATTAGGTGTCTGAGGTGGAAGAGCGGTCCTTTGCCCCTAGTTGGATTCAGTTGATGGTAACGTAGGAGGTTAATGGCAGCAATTTCAAAGCTTGGAGTCTTTTATTTATTTGTTGTGACACTGTTTGAAGTGTTCTGGAGAGTTTGTTGCTGTAAATTTGGCCTGAGTATGGTTATTTGGTTTCAGCTTTTTCTTCTTTTCCCTTTCTCCTTCCTTTTCCCCTCCTCTCCCGACACCCCTCTCCCTCTCCCCTCTTCCTCCTCCCATCTTGAATGCTGCCCCTCCTTTCTGCCCGGCAGCCAGTCTCCCTGGGGATTTTCCATTCTCACTGGAGAGTTTGCTCCATCCTCAGATTCTGCTCCTAAAAGCCATGTCTGTGAGGTTTGTTGTATTAAAGCTGGAAGAACGTGCAGAGAACGTGCGCATCTTTTCCACCCAGATTCCTCAGTGGTTAGCGTCATAGTCATCGGGCCATCTCCCTCCCTGCTTTGTATTTAGGAGGAAAGGGGGACCGTGACGTATAAAGACTTTGGTGTGCTCTGCTCTCCCTCACTAAAGGAACTTGTGTAAATAACCTCCATGGCGCCCCCCAGTCGGAAAGTCAGTGTTGATGACGATACCGTCCAGTTGATTGACTCCATCCAGATTCCCCCCATCGTTAGGCACGCCTTTCTCCTCTGGTCTGAGATCTTGTCCGGGCGTATGCTTTGGAGTTACTTGTGCTGCCTCACTAGTGTCCTTCCGTCTGGGGCAGTTGCTCAGCGTCCCTGCTCTCATGTCTTTGGCCGTCGGAAAGGGGACCCAGGCCTCTCCTGCGGCTGACCCTGCCGTGGTCTGTCACTGCGCTCTCATTGCTGGACTCGGGCACGGGCTGTTGGTGGGACTGCCTGGGCGGTAATGCCATGCTTTTCTCAATGGGTCACTCCGGGGGCAAGGACGACGTCCACCTGTCCTACAGGGTAGTGGTGATGTCGCCCTTCCACATGGAGGCAGGGTGCTGTCTGCCCTGTTGCTCACTGTGAAGTCATCATTTTCCCCGTTATATCTGTTAGTATTTTGTGGGGAGGGATTCCAATATTAAACCAGCAACGTGCTCCTCAGCCTTCTCAGGAGGAGCACCTATACAAATAGATCGTCTCCTGTTTTACGCTGTCTGTTATTAAGAAGAAGACACACGTCCAAACCACAGAATCCCTCCCCAAAGGAATGCACGTGAACAAAATGAGCTGTGGCATTACTCATGAAACAGTGATTTCTCAAAATGTGAAAATTGAGTTCTGAGCAATTTTTTAGCCTAGCTAGTAAAACTCAGTTCTTTTCTTGAGGCTATCCTTTTAAAATAATATTTGTCCTGTGCCAGTTACAGAAAAAACAGGAAATAGAGACGAACAAAGCAATAAAAATACATATACGATCATCCAGCAAAGACGATGACAGTCCTGTGCCTTCTCTTTCTTTTATATGCCCTTTAAAAATGTGATCATATCATACATTCTGTCTTGTTATCTTCTGTTTTAATTTGAGAGAAAATCTCTCCATGCCATTGTATAGGTCTGTATAATCATTAAAAAAAAAAATCTTCATATAATTTTCTTTCTTTCTTTTTTTTTTTTTGGAGACATAGTCTCGCTCTGTTGCCCAGGTTGGAGTATAGTGACGTGATCTCAGCTGACTGCAACCTCTGCCTCCTGGGCTCAAGCGATTCTTGTGCCTCAGCCACCCAAGTAGCTGGGACTACAGGTGCGCGCTCCCACACCTGGCTAATTCTTTGTATTTTTATTAGAGGTTGGCTGTCGCCCTGTTGCCCAAGCTGGTCTCAAACTCCTGAGCTCAGGCAATATGCCTGCCTCAGCTTCCCAAAGTGCTGGGATTACAGGCATGAGCCACCACGCCAGCTTAGTTTTCTATATAACCATTTATGCTCTTGGACATTTGGGCTGTTGACAGTACTAAGCCGTTTCAAACAAGGAGGAAATGAACATCTTTGTCACACCTGCTAAGGTTAATGACACATGATTAGTCTACAACATTGGGTTGCCTTGTACGGTCCTGAAAACCTTGTCTGCGGCCGGGTGCGGTGGCTCAAGCCTGTAATCCCAGGACTTTGGGAGGCCGAGGCGGGTGGATCACGAGGTCGAGAGATCGAGACCATCCTGGTCACATGGTGAAACCCCGTCTCTACTAAAAATACAAAAAATTAGCTGGGCATGGTGGTGCGTGCCTGTAATCCCAGCTACTCAGGAGGCTGAGGCAGGAGAATTGCCTGAACCCAGGAGGCGGAGGTTGCCGTGAGCCGAGATTGCGCCATTGCACTCCAGCCTGGGTAACAAGAGCAAAACTCCGTCTCAAAAAAAAAACAACAAAAAAACAAAACCTTGTCTGCTCTTCAGCACCCCACCCCCAAGGGTACTTGTGCTCTGCAGTAAAATGACTGACATCTTAAGACCTTGTAAAAACAGGCCAGTCCAGTTAAACTTATAAATCTTATGGAGGAAAAAGAGAAAAAAGTTAAATCTGCAACTTTCGACAGAGATTTGCACAGTGAGGTTTGAGGCTGCTTGGGAAGTCTTCCCTCAGCACCCTCAGAAAGGGAAGGCAGCTGGCTTTAGGAGGCATTCCTTTCTTCAGCTTTGCTGTAGAAGTAGCAGGTGAAACTTCAGTTTCTCTCTTGTCTTTTCTGATCCTCACATCCAGTTGGCTTTTCTCTGACCTTTTCCTCGGTTAAGCCAAACCCTGCTTAGCTTCCAGGATGAGCCACCCTCAGGCTGCAGGGGCCCACAGGGCCTGCCAGTACATCTCTGACCTTTTCCTAAGCAGCTTCTTAGAGTTCTTTGTGCCCATTCTCACAGTGCTCCAGAGGAACTACAGGTGCCCAGAGGGCCTCCTCCCCTGTGTGCCAGGATGACCCAGAGCAGTGACTAAAAGATGCTGACCTGCTGCCATCAGAGCTGTTCACAGATGACCGATCACATCCACTGGAGGCCGAGGCCAGTGGCAGGGTAGACATGGTCCTTTACCCTCTGCAGACATCTCCTGCCTTCACTTGAGTAGACGGTGTGGACCGGCAGGAGGAATTAGGTTTGGAAGATTCAGGTCTGCTGAATTCATCTGAGGAGGCCGCTTGCTAGTAACATACTAGACATGGAAATAGTTGTGTAGGAGACAAGTGAATATTTTAAATCATTTAAAGTGTAAGACACATTCAAGCATTGTTGAAATAACAGTGGTATGGATTTTATTTTCTGTTTCTTGATTTTAGTATACATTTTTTCACTGGCATAGGGCTTCTTGTGTTAAGAACAGGTGTAGAAATATTGACATTCAAGTGTAAAATTATTACTGACTCTAAAAGAAAACTTTGGAGTTGAGTCGGCTTATTTAGTTTATTAATCAATTCACATTCTTTTCCAAGATAGGGTGCCACTATTGCCTTGTCTGATCTTAAAAAAAAAGATCTTTTTAAAAAAGGATGCTTTTGCTCTGTGGTAAAGTAACATGAAGACTTTGTACAAACATGTGCCAGTTATAGATTTGTGAGTAGTAAAATGGTCATTAATTTAGATTTCTCAATAAATGTACCCAAATACATCTTTATTCAAAATGTTAAGGTTGACCTATGATTGAGTGATGCCAGTTGTCAACAGTTTGTTTCCGCGCTAATTGTTGTTCTATTTATTGTGTTTGTGTGTTCTCAATGTGCCTCTGCCTCCTGAGTTCTTCAGCTATAAAGTAGCAGATCCTTTGACTTAAAAGAGGCTGACTGACGTGATTTCGCTGCACTCTTCTATTTTAGAGTAATATATAAGTGTTCCATGTGCGACACTGTGTTCACCCTGCAAACCTTGCTGTATCGCCACTTTGACCAACACATTGAAAACCAGAAGGTGTCTGTTTTCAAGTGTCCAGACTGTTCTCTTTTGTATGCACAGAAGCAACTTATGATGGACCATATCAAGGTGTGTGTGCATCTATCCTCTCCTTTAAATGAATTGCAGATCCATTCATTGGTCATAAATCAAGGCTGAGCTGTAGATGACTCTAAAGCAGGCGTCCCCAAACTTTTTACACAGGGGGCCAGTTCACTGTCCCTCAGACCATTGGAGGGCCACCACATACTGTGCTCCTCTCACTGACCACCAATGAAAGAGGTGCCCCTTCCTGAAGTGCGGCGCGGGGCCGGATTAATGGCGTCAGGGGGCCGCAGTTTGGGGATGACTGCTCTAAAGCATGCCTGAGGGAAGGGATGGATGCTGGTCGTTGTCATTGAGCAACTTACATGCTGTGATCTTGTGTTCACTTGACTATGGGATGCTTTTCATTTATGAGTCCTGATCTGCCTGCTAAAAGGTTGGTGAAAAGGAACCAATGCTTGCCCTGATTTTAAAAGAATAAGAGTACTAGGGTTTTTTTTTTTTTTTTTTTTTTTAATGTGAAAATGATGACTCTGAAATTTTCCTTTCCTTTCCTCTTTTTTGGGGAGAAAAAGTCTCTCCTTCTGTCATCCAGGCTAGAGTGCAGTGGTATGAGCTCAGCTCACTGCAGCCTCCGTCTCCCAGGTTCAAGCGATTATTCTGCCTCAGCCTCCCAAGTAGCTGGGATTACAGGCATGTACCACCATACCTGGCTAATTTTTGTATTTTTAGTAGAGACGGGGTTTCACCATGTTGGCCAGGCTCATCTTGAACTTCCGACCTCCTGGTCTACCTGCCTCAGCCTCCCAAAGTTTGGCGCCTGGCCAAAGTTTTCCTTTGCTTGAGAATTCTGTATTGTGTAAGACTTAGAAATAGACAAGGGCTCCGATGAATTATGCTAATTCATACAAATATTGGTATATTTAGAAAAATGAAGTTTTTTCCCTTGAAATTATTTAATCAGTTAGGTTTGCATTGTAATTAATCCCCCTAAACCTTTTAGTTTCTTTCTTTCTTTTTTTTTTTTTTCTGTAAAGATTGCATTGTAAGTGGACTGTTAAATATCTAGGATATAGTATGGTACCTGGCACGTGGTGGTGTTCAGTTAATGAAATGAATAAATGTCCAGTGTGGACTATTTACTCTCCAACCCCCAAAAGGGGCACAGAAATCTATTTATAGCCTTTTAAGCTTACTAAGGCCAGTGCTTAGTTCTAGCTTCTTAACTGTCCACTGTGATATGTTAAGCAATTTTTTTTCCTTGTGTGATTAGGAGATAATATCCATTGGCTTTCAGAGATTAAAATGACATTACTTTTTAAACAGAGAAACAAGAGACCCCCTCTCATTAGGATCTCAATCTCTTTCTTTTAGTTTTGCTCTTTTAAAAATACATTATACAGGTGGTTCATGCCTGTAATCCCAGCACTTTGGGAGGCCAAGGTGGGTGGACCACTTGAGGTCAGGAGTTCAAGACCAGCCCGGTCAACATGGTGAAACTCCGTCTCTATTAAAAATACAAAAATCAGCCGGGCGTGGTGGTACATGCCTGTCATCCAAGCTACTTGGGAGGCTGCAGCAGCAGAATCACCTGAACTCAGTAGGTGGAGATTGCAGTGAGCCGAGATTGTGTCACTGCACTACAGCCTGGGCAACAGGGCGACACTGTCTCAAAAACAAACAAACAAAAATTATACAAAAAAGGGTCAGCTTGAAGAGCAAATAAAGTTCCTGAATTATTCTAGTCTCATGTCGGCTAAATGCATGGATTATGAATCCTTGACATTTCCTATATTGAACATATGTGAGTTCATATAGAGTCATTGCCTTTTGCAAGTGAACATCTTGGAGATTCTTTCCTTATAGGCAAGGTGAAGACCGTGGTGGTGATGGCATTACTAGGGTGAATAAAATGTATGGGAGATATAGTTCATCATTCTTACTGAAGTATAGTAAAATCCTTTTAAGATACTTTAACTATTTTAGCTAAAATGACATAATTATTTTGACAGTAAATATTTATTTAATGAAACATCAGGAAGAATTTAAAACTGCTAATAAAAATTTAGGGACGTTGGAATCAGATCAGAATATTTTAACATACTACATGTGTGCCAAGAACAAACAGAGAAAAGAACAGTTGCTTCTTAAGAGGCTTTTAAGGTATTTGCTTTCTGGAACTCATCTTTACATCTAGAAGTGGGGTCATCGACCTTGTGGTTAGGGTCTTCCCTGTGTTAATAGTGAATGTGGAGGAATACAAGGTTCCAAGAAATAGACACTGAAGAGGAGTGGTAAAATCCTGTGGCCACAAGGAGGAAAGAATTGTTTCTATTCATCTGAACCTATACAAGACTCCATGATACGAAAACAGTGGGAATAATCACTTGTATTCTCATTTCAAGTATGTTCTATGCATTTTTTAATGTTCTGCATTTAAATGTTTGGGGATAGGTAAGCATAGTCTTAGAGGCATACTCTTTTTTTTTTTTAATTTTTAAGATAATATATTTAGCTCTTATTATTTACATTGCCTGTGCCTGTGCTGTGCAGTTTTTTATTAGAGAGGAAGTGGAAGAGGCACAAGTTTTTTAAATGTCTTTTTAAATTTAAAAAAAATTTTTAAATTGAAATTGAAGTAAATCTCCATGTACATATTCACTGGGCCCTTATTTGCCCAGTTTAAACCAGTTGTGTCATTTTCTTCTCCTACCAAAATACAAATAAACTTATTTCCTTCTAGGACCCCCATGTTGACATTTATGTTTAAAGTAAACTTTCAAGTTACAAACGTTCATTCAAATTAATTATTGTTATAGGAGTTAAGAAAAAATCAACTTGAAAAGAAATAAGTTGTTGCTTTATTTAGAAACAGCAATAATCAATGAATGAATGAGGCAGGTCTTGCCATGTTGCCCAGGCTGAACTTCTGGTCTCAAGTGTTTTTCCCACCTTAAGCTTCTTCCAGAGCATGGAAATTATAGATGTGAGCCACCATTCCCAGCTGACATTTGCTTTTAAGAGTTTTTTGTTTTTTTGTTTTTTTGTTTTTTTTTTTTTTTTTAAGATAGGGTCTCACTCTGTTGCCCAGGTTGGAGTGCAGTGGCATGATCAGGGCTCAAGGCACTCAGGTGATCCTCCAAGCTCAGCCTCCCAGATAGCTGGGACTACAAGCATGCACCAGCACGCCTAGCTAATTTTTGTAGAGACAGAGTTTCACTATGTTGCCTAGGCTTATCTTGAACTCCTGGGGTCAAGTGATCCTCCTGCCTTGGCCTCCCAAAGTGCTGGGATTTATTGGCCTGAGCCACTGTGCCTGGCCTTAATAGTCTTAATTTTACTTACAGGGTAGCTTTTTGCTTCTTCTCTGTAATTTCTGTAGCACTTTAAGGTTATCTTACAGAAGAATGTTTTCATACTTTATCCTTTCTTCAGCTTATCACTTAGTAAACATGCATTTGCCTAGAAATTTATAGAAAGTTGCTAGGTTTTAGGTTTTGTTTTCTTTAGGTTTTAAATAGTTAAAAATGAGAAAACTTAGCTTCTCTTTTGAAAAAATAGTTCAAACACAGAAGACTTCTGCCCTACGTGGTGAGAACGAAGCAAGGCATAGCTTCTGGCTATCAGGAAATCATGATTTGCTCCAGATTTTCCCTCTGCAAAGAACGTGGTTAGACATTCACCTCAACCCCCTTTTATGGGCCACTTTCACCGTTGGCTGTGTGGGTTGACCTTGTGACTTCAGCCAACGAGAACATTTATAGAACCACTTTTTTCCCTCTGGGGAAAAATGGTGTTGAAGAAGGTTAGCTGATTCTTGGCACTGTTGAGAGAAGACCTTTCCTTGAGAAAGCATGATGGAGAGTATACTGAAGGAATGGCTTGTTCCTTAAACACCCAAGAAGGACTGTGGCGCTGAGGTCTATGTGTGAGTCTCTGTGACCCAGGGGGACCCGTGTGTGAAAGCCTCTTACGAAAGATTTTTCGTGTTGTCTTTCTGTAGTTTCAGGAATGCATAGTTTAACCGCAAGCCTGACTCCTAGGAAGAAGAGAGAGAGTGCCCTATTCAAAGATAAATTGTATATTGTATATACAGAAGCAAAGATTTTATTTTTTGCTCTCTTCCACTCTCTTTTGTTTTGGCTTTTTTTTTTTTTTTTTCCTTTGAGATAGGGTCTTGCTCTGTTGCCCAGGCTAGAGTGCAGTGGCATGATTATAGCTCACTGTAACCTTGAACTCCTGGGTTCAAGCAATCCTCTCACCTTACCCTTCTTAGTAACTGGGACTTCAGTCATGCACCACCATGCCCGGCTAATGTCTTAATCTTTCTGTAGAGATGGGGTCTCTCTATGTTGCCCAGACTGGTTTCAAACTCCGGGCCTCAAGTGATCCCCCTGCTTTGGTCTCCCAAAGTGTTGGAATTATAGACATGAACCACTGCATCCTCCTCACCCCCTGTCTTTATCCCATGCTTTTAGAATACAAAACCAAAACCAAAGTGAGCTGGTCTTTAAAATCAAATTACACTAATTTTACCCTTTTCAAATTTGAAATCCAGTGAGTTTAAGTTGAAGGTGGCTGTTGTAGCTATTATGTTGATGATAATAGCTAAGTAGTTTTCAAAGACATGAGTATCTAATGTGTGTCGTTCTCAAGCCTAGCTGTCATCGGTAAGAAAGGATGGGTTGGGATAGGGTGTAAGGAGATGAAAAGTACTGACAAAACCTAGCAAAAACCCAGACTATTACAAGTATTTTAAGAATGCGAAAGGCATGAAAAGAAAAAGGCTTGCTATTTACTAACATACTGATCTTAGATGTTTGCTCAAGTCAGTTTGTTCTGTTCAATTCCTAATAATGTATTAGCCTATTTAAACATTTCCAGGCTGATGGGAAAGGCGAGAGTTGTCCTGAAATGGTCTGTTGTAGACAGGCCTCACTCTGGGAAGTTACGGGATGATAAAGTACCAGAATTAATTTGCATTCAATACAGAGGTCTTTAAAGAATTTTAAAATGCTACAAATATATAGACCTTTAAAAAGCATTTGGAGGCTGGGCGTGGTGGCTCACGCCTGTAATCCTAGCCTTTTGGGAGGCCAAGGCGGGCAGATCACCTGAGGTCTGGAGTTTGAGACCAGCCTGACCAACATGGAGAAAGATACAGAAATACAAATTAGCTGGGCGTGGTGGCACATGCCTGTAATCCCAGCTACTTGGGAGGCTGAGGCAGGAGAATTGCTTGAACCCAAGAGATGGTGGTTGCAGTGGGCCGAGATCGTGGAGAAATGCATAACTTATAGCAGGCCTGAAAGTTAATGCTTTTATTTATTTTTAAATGTATATTTAGCTTGAGTTTTTTTCTTTAGATATTAAGAAATATATCTGAATGAATATAAAGTCATATGAAATGTGTATCATGTATTAAGATAGCATACTTGTGCTTTCTTTTAGTGTTGTGATTTGTGATAGCTATTTCTTTTCTTTTTATAATGTAGTCTATGCATGGAACATTGAAAAGTATTGAAGGGCCTCCAAACTTGGGTATAAACTTGCCTTTGAGCATTAAGCCTGCAACTCAAAATTCAGCAAATCAGAACAAAGAGGACACCAAATCCATGAATGGGAAAGAGAAATTGGAAAAGAAATCTCCATCTCCTGTGAAAAAATCAGTGGAAACCAAGAAAGTGGCCAGTCCCGGGTGGACGTGTTGGGAGTGTGACCGGCTGTTCATGCAGAGAGATGTGTACATATCCCACGTGAGGAAGGAGCATGGGAAGGTCAGTAAAGAATGAAGGCTGCTCCGGGTGAGTGCAAGAGAGCACTGGACGTCACGCTTCCAAGATGTGGGTTCTTGGCTTGGCTCTGTCAGTAATGAGTAGTGTGGCTTTGAAAATCACTTGGTGTTACTCTGCCTCAGTTTCTTCATCTATAAAATGGACCTTTCCAAATCCTTTGATCTTGTTCTGTAATTTTCCTAGTAATTGCCTTGACATGCACACCTCAAGACTGGTATGCCTGCATGAATGTGGTAAGTTACCTGTAACCACATTCGTATTGATAGCTTAGCAAAGAGAAAAATAGTAAATCAGAGTCAAAGGCATTTGAATTGACCTCTATCCCTGTGCCAGCTAAGGAAGAAAGGAGTAGAGAAAGACAGTGGAAATGCTGAACACTGCTAGTAGCATCTGTATGACTTACGTGAGTCTTCCTTGAGTTTGGTAGTGGGAAGAGGAACTGTATCCTTTACCTTCCAGGAGAAGCTCTGTAACTCAAAATCGCTGAAAAATCTGAGTCACAATATGTAAATTATTTCTCTTTTAAATAGTAAGTATAAGTTTCCAACTGATAAGGAATTTAACAAATAACTTATTAGACCTAATAACATTAGCAAATTATTTTTCGATATTATCTAATACCGTATTAGATGCAATATTAGACTGTGTTCACATTTCCTGATTGTCTCAAAGTTGGTCTATAATGGCTAGAATCCAAAAAGTCCACATACTACATTTGGTTGTTGTGTAATTCTTTATTTTACATAGTCATCCCTCTATTTAATTTTTTAACTTATGGTTGATTTGTTGGAAAAATTGGGTTGTTGTCTTATATATAGGTTGTCTCTCACTTTACTAGATTTGGATAATCGCTACTTTAAAAAAAACACACACAGACAAACTTGTTGACACTAGGAACCAACATGGAATTTGCTACCTTTTTTTTTTTTTTTTTTTTTTGGAGAAAGAGTCTCACTCTGTTGCCCAGGCCAAAGTGCAGTGGCGAGATCTCAGTGCACTGCAACCTCTGCCTCCTGGGTTCAAGCAATTATCGTGTCTCAGCCTCCCAAGTAGCTGGGATTACAGACACACACCACCACGCTCAGCTAATTTTTTCGTATTTTTAGTAAAGATGGTTTCACCATGTTGGCCAGGCTGGTCTCAAACTCCTGGCCTCAAGGAATCCACCCACCTTGGCCTCCCAAAGTGCTCAGATTACAGGTGTGAGCCACTGCACCCAGCCAGAATTTGCTGCTTTTTGATACTATTTAACTTGTTTCTCTTTATCTTATATTCCTGAAATTTTGATTAGATTAGATTTTTTTTTTTTAAGGCAGCCTATGTCAGCTCGGCATGGTGGCTCATGGCTGCAGTCCCAGAGCTTTGGGAGGCCAAGGCGGGAGGATCACTTGAGCCCAGAGTTCCAGGGTACAGTGAGCCATGATCATGCCACTGCACTCTAGCCTGGGCAATAGAGCGAGATCCTGTCTCAAAACTAAAAAACAACAAAAGAATATGTCATAGGTGCTGCATTCTTTCTGTATTTCATCATGAGGAACATTATACCAGCTTGTCCCATTTGTAGTCCCAATGCTGACATTACTCAGTGGGTTGAAATACATGGTGTTTTTAAAGAAAGTCATCTTACTGCTTTAACTTAAGCCAATAGAACAAAATAGTCATCCTTAGTGAGCCTATATAAAGACTATATAGGAGGCCTTCTCTTCCTGGTTCTTTCTGGAGTCGGGAAAAGCTGGGTTTAGAAGGTGTTTAAAAAAAAAAAAAGTACATAGGAATTGTTTTGTAGTTAGTCTACACTACATCCTTGAGAAGTTTGTTCTGTTACACGTGCTAAGAACTATTCTCTAGTCTCATTTATTTATACTGTTTATTTGAGCTTCTCATGAAACTGACATGTTTTACTTTGTGACCATCCAAATGGCCTGTGAACGTGGATCAAAAGTCACAAATTACAAAAAGATGTTTTTATTGTGTTAGGTCTCATTATAGTGCATCTTGATATAAAAAGTAGTTTCTTACAGAATATATTTGGCTTAGTGGCACTTTGCTTATTTAATCATCTTCATCTTAGCTTTTCCTGGTAGCATTGTACAGTGTTCATTGTAAATACTGGGTAGTTTTGAGGAGCAACACTTAAATAACCTATGGTATAAATACACTGCCAGGGGTGCTGTTGGAGCCTGATGCGGTGGCTCTAGGGAGTCTTCCATGGCACCTGCACTGGAGTGCATAAGAGTCAAACAGGAGCTGGTCTTCAACATCATCTGGCAGTCCAGTCCTTTCATTTTGTGAGATTTCTGTAACCATCTTGTAACATTTCAAAACTCTCTTTCTTTTATAAAAAGCTACATTTATCTTACATGTGTGATAATGATTAGATCTAGGATATAAGAGGAGGAGATGGTTTCAAAAAAGTTGGTGGGGTGAAATGTACCACTGATTGAAAGCCTTTGCTTTGGAACCACGGCAGAGAGAGGCCACTCTGAATTGGATGTGTGTGCGTGCACTCTTGTGCCTTTGGTTTCGATGGAGATGTTCATCAGAGTGGAAATGTTTGGCTTAGTAGGATTTTAGGATTAGCTTTGAAGGAGTTGAGGCCCATGAGGCACATCAGATTAGACTGTAGTTTCACTCCTGTTCCCTTGGCCTCCCGAGAGAATGAAGGAGACCAGTGGGCCAGGAGAGGGGAGGAGCGTCTTTGTAAGCAAATGAAATGAGTAGTTTTGAATGCGGGACCACAACCAGTGCTTGAGTTGCACGTGCTGAATCACCCCGGAGCACCCCACTTCCAAACATCTCTCTACAAGCATCTCATATCCATCTCCATTCATTTCTCCCAAGTCACCCAAACTTCAAATCCCCTGCGCTCTTTCCTCCTTCTTCCTTCAGACAACCAAGCAAGCACCTTGCTGTCCATACCTTTCCTTCCCATTTACTCTGGGAAGGAAATGCCACCTTATCTCTGAACACAGTTCTCTGGTGGCCCCTTTGATGTTAAGTCTGTTGGACGTGTTACTGTCTTCTACCTTTATTCACTCCACAGCAGTATTTCACACGATTAGCAATTCTTTCTAAACACGTTTTCTACCCTTATCGTAGAACACCACTCTCTCCTGGCTCTTTCTCACCATTACCGGAACACCCTTTCAGGTTTCTATTCTAGAAACATTTAACTTTCTCTTGGGAAAATTCAACCACTTTTATAACTCTGTTTCTCATGGATAGTATATATACAAATAGCACCCAAATCTGTGTCTCCAGTTGGTTGAAAAGTATTTCTCGAATTAATAGACCAAGAATGAGTTCTGATTTGGAAGACATCGGACTTCTCTTAAACTTAACTTCCTCGTCTTTAAAATGGGTACATGTTTCCACGTTTAGTGATCTTCCAGTGGTCCTGTGTACCTAGAGAACTATGTATGAGGGGTAATAAGTATTCTCTAATCCTTGCGGGTTGAAGATGAGATATCAATATGAAATATGCTATATATATATATATGCGGGCTCAAAAATTGTAATGGGCTAAAGGTCTCAGGGGAGAATACATTTTTACTTCCTCCAGCCCAGAAGTTACTGGAAAGATTCAAATTTATTAGATTACCCAATGAAATATTATGCATTATGATAAATATGTGAATGTTCTGAACCAGTGAACTTGGAATGTATACTTGATTTTGTATCATAATGATGACTTAAAAATACATATATATAGAAATATAATAACTTGAGGAATAATCTAATTCTGCCAGCCACAATACAGTCATTACTTTAGTGTTAATGCTACCTGCATGATCATTATTTTGATAAGGTTTGGAGTAAATATTTCAGGTTAGGTGTAAATCTAACTGGCATAAGTTAAAATTTTTTGTCAAATTGTAATTCACTGCAACTCATTTTAGGTGGCCGTTTTGGTTTCAATAATTGTTTTTGACCTTTCTTCCCCTTTTTTTAGTTCCCATCCAGAATGAACTTTACTAAAAAGAAAGATTTTATATACGGTTCCATTTATTAAGTAAAGATATTTGGTAACTTTGTCTTTAAGATGCAAAAACTGGCCAGGCATGGTGGCTCACGCCTGTAATCCCAGCTCTTTGGGAGGCCAACGCAGGTGGATCACTTGAGGTCAGGAGTTCGAGACCAGCCTGGCTGACATAGTGAAACCCTATCTCTACTAAAAGTACAAAGAGCTGGGTGTGGTGGTAGGCACCTTGTAACCCCAGCCACTTGGGAGGCTGAGACATGAGAACTGCTTGAACCCAGGAGGCAGAGGTTGCAGTGAGCCAAGATTGCACCATTGCACTCCAGCCCGGGTGACAGAGCAAGACTCTGTTTTTAAAAAAAAACAAAAACCAGATACAGAAACCGACTTCTGGCTCTGCTAGTTATTCAGTAGCTTTTCTGTGTCTCTAATGTTCTTTTTAAAAACTGAATTGTCCAGTGTCCACTTTCAGTTTTTCCAGTTATTTGTTGTAATCTGATATCAAGTGAAATACTTTAAAAAAATGTTGACAGATATTCCGTGCATATTCGTTATAGGCATAATCATCTTAAAACCTACAACTTACTGAATTAGTACTTTAGCTATTTAACAAAGATAGTCAAAGCAGAAGCATATAAAAAAGTGGTTGTTACAGAAATTCAATATGCAGGAAGCAGTAAAAAACTGAGCAATTTCTCTTTTTAAGATTTTTTTCTCAAATGCTTATGTATTGTTTTAAAAAAAATAGATCGCTTTCTAAAGTTGATATTGTTGTTTCGTTATGGCCAGATTTTAGGTGTCCTTGTAAATGGTAAAGTCTTTGAGGAGAAGTTGTATGTCCATTTTATTATTACAGTCTTCTGTGGCTTATAGCATTGTGCCTTGCAGAGTATCTCTGGAGTCACTGATGGAAGCAGTTCTCTTTGGATTGGATTGTTACTTGCACATATGGGAAGGGACTTTGTGTTAGTCACAGATAGACACAAGTTGCAGTGTGGGTTCA